CAAGACACGTAAGGCGACAACGCTGACGGAAAAAAGTCCTAGAAAGTCCGACCTTGTGAAAGTTAAACAATATTGTTCTTAAACACCTCTTGGGTCAACAATGTGACACAAGTACTGGACATAAAATACACTCTGTTTCACAACAACTATTACCGACACACATACATCTCATCTTATATTTATATATGACCCAAATACGTATATACAGTTTGTTCATTTGAATTGTATCTTTAATTTTATTAGTCAAAGTCATCTTTATTGTCAATCTTTTAGTTTGTGATTGAAATACCGTTTCCCACAATCCCGAATACCAAAAACTACAAATATATATACAAATATGTATATATCTATGTATATACCTATGTATATACCTATGTATATACCTATGTATATACCTATGTATACACAATCCACATGAATTAATATCCATCTCTAATCTGTGTGAACCTGTGCTGCCCTGTTTTTCATTCTCACCCTGTTTCTGATAAATTACTGAATTTCTCCACGGGGATGAATAACGATCCACTTTATCTGATCTGATCTCTCTTAACGTGTCCAGGACCTCTGGGGGGGGTGAAGAACATGCGGGTGAGCGACCCCACCATGACCTCTCTGAAGGTCAACTGGGACCCCGCGGATGGAGCCGTCCGACTCTACAAAGTGTTCTTCGTTCCTGCAGCCGGGGGCCGGGAGGAGATGGTGAGACTCTGAGGGAGAATTACTCACAAAGTCACGGAAAAATACGTATTTATACATAAAATACTACGCTGTAAAACTCAACAGAAAGAAGTTCCTGCAGCTTTTAGCCGACATATTCTCTGATGACACAATAATAACTATTTAACTGCTACAAAAATACATGTAGGTCTGCTGCTCAGATTGTCTTAATTGGTTAATTGCCTGTTTTTAATTGACTTAATTTTGTGCTTAAAGGGGGATCTTTTTGTTTCCGACATTATGACCCGAGAGATTTGAATTTGTCGGACTTTGACATATTTTTCCGGACGGAAACAGATCCGGCAGCCTGTTAGGAGACTTCTGATCTGAATGACTCTTTATTCTGAATCTCTGTGAACAGGAGCAAGTCCCCGCAGGAACCACGAACATCATCCTGAGGAACCTTCTGTCCGACACGCCGTACACCGTCTCCGTGCTGCCGGTGTATCCCGCCAGAGAGGGGAGGCGCCAGTCAGAGAACGGGAAGACACGTAGGTTACCTCTTATATTTCACGTTCAGCAACTATAATAATATGACATGTTATTTATTTATTTAGTGCTTTTCCTGGTTCTCAAAACGCTTAACCTATACGAGCTGTATCTTTAATATGTCCATCTTATTTTCTAAGATTCTAAAAAAAGTCAAAAAAATGACAGGTCCGGAACTGTCGAAATAAATTGATAAAACGGACAAAAAAGACACCGGAAAATGTGGATTAAAATCAGAGATGGCAAAAGTAAACCCATCCTTTCCTCAAGTAGAAGTACAAATACTCGTGTTTAAAAATACAGGTATTTGAGTTCAACATGTAAGAAGTAGAAAGTACAGGTATTTGTGTTCAACATGTAAGAAGTAAAAGTAAAAAGTCATCAGAACTATAAGTAGTGGAGTAAAGTACTGATACCAGAGACATGTACTTAAGTACAGTAACTAAGTATTTGTTCTCCACTGCTTCCACCTGAAAGTCTGTAATAATATGATATAAATGAATGTCATTTCCCTGCCGTAGTGCCGTTGAGCGGCGTGGGCAACATGCAGGTGATCGACCCCTCCATCACCACCCTGACAGTGAGCTGGAGCCCAGCTGATGGGAACGTGCAGGGATACAAAGTGATCTACAGCCCCGTGGACGGAGGCCCGGAGATCGTGGTAACACTCTTTATTTCATCATTATAATACTTTTTATTTATAAAATTAGATCAAATGCACTTTAAAAGCTCCAGACCAAAGTGCTGTACAGACAAATAAACAAACACAACAAACAGAAATCCCACAGCTCAGCTCACACACCATAAAACAAGTACAAGTTAAAACAATAGACCATTTAACAGCAACAATCTACAAGATGTCAAAACGCTATAAGGACAAGAGGTGGGTTTTTAGCGGGGATTTAGTGACGTCATGCGTTCTGATTTTTACACTTCAAATCAGGGGGAAGCCTCTCAATGCTTGCAGTAAAAAGTATGTAACAAAAACCACCTGGTTAGTCAGTTTTTTCCATCTTTAAGCTTCAAAATGTCCCAGTTCTGCAGCAGAAGCGAAGATAAAAGTCAGACAGTGTTTGAATTCAGACCCAAAACGATCAAAGGATCAAAGTGACGTCACCCTCTGACAGGATAATCCCATCATGCATCACAAAAGCATCAAAAGCCTTTTTCATCCGTCAACGTGGGCTTTGTGTTCCTGCAGCGCAGCTTTTAGAGAATAAGTGGCTGTAAATCCCGCTCTCTGAGACTGTGTCGAGAGCGTGAAACAACATCTGGCTGACGGACGTGTTTGTGTCTCGTAGAAACGCTGCGTTGGTCTCTGACGATGACATCATTTACCCAAAATGTTAAAGTACTTAGCCAGAGGAGTTCAGTGCGGCTTGTGTGGGGGTGTATCTGTTGATTGTGGGGTTAAGAAGGAAAACAACAGATAATTAAGACCTGCAAATACCTGGGATTATTTAAATGTGTTTGATCTATGACTGAATTTGTTCAATCCCAACGTTTTTATACATTTTAATGAATAAATGTGCCTAAAAGTTATTATGGTTGTATGTACTTTCTCTCCTGAGGTAAAACTGGAGAGAAGATAAAGATATCTTTTAAACCAATTTAGTGGGTCGAATAATTTGGAAATGTTAAAAAACGTTTTGTCGGAAGCGCTTTTAAATCTGTAATGAATAGTTTTATATGTTTTGTGTGTGTGTGTGTGTGTGTGTGTGTGTGTGTGTGTGTGTGTGTGTGTGTGTGTGTGTGTGTGTGTGTGTGTGCTTGTGTGTGTGTGTGCGCACTTGTGTGTGTGTGTGTCTGCACTTGTGTGTGTGTGTGTGTAGGAGCAAGTGTCAGAGAGCACCACTAAGACGGTGTTGGAGAAGCTGCTTCCGGATACCCGTTACACCATCACCGTCGTTCCAGTTTACGCCGAGGGAGACGGGCCGAGCCTCAGCGACATCGGGAAGACAAGTCAGTGTTTACACTTTTAAACGTTTGATTTCTACGTCTTTCTATGAGTTCTAGAGCTTGAACAAACCTTAAAGAAGCACCCGAACCTCCAAGGAATCGTCACACAGATTGATAAAGATAAGACTTAATTGATAATTTGATTGTTGTTTTGTTACAGCAGCATGTTAACAAGGCATTCAACATGCATTAAGAATATAAATGAATGGTAGATATTAAGTGCAGAGTATAACAGTTGATGGATAGTGAAAGCTCAAGGTAGAGACACAGTAAGAAAGCAGAAAAAGAGGGAAACAATTGGACAAATTGAATATACTAAGAAAATTATCAGAAATTAGTGATATTGAAGTTTTATGTTTACGGGAAAGGAACCACTTGCTTCATGGTTTTTCTTGCATTCTGCTCTACTTCCCCATCGTATTACCAGAAGTGTCAAATCTTTTACTTGAATGTTATTCTTTAAAGAAATGTAGACATGTGGCTTGGCGAGTGAAGACGAATTTGACTCTTTTCCCCCGTGGTAATGAAGCAGCATCAATTGAATCACTGACAGCTAACGGCCGCCAGAAAACAGTCTTTTTCTGACACATCTGGACACTAACAGCTGTGCGCTCCAAATGCTCACTTCCTGTTTGGCGCTGACTTCCTGTTTCAGAGCCGCTGGGCTTTGCGAGGAACCTGCAGGTGACCGACCCCACGACGAGCTCTCTGAACGTCCGCTGGGACGCGGCCGAGGGGACGGTGCGAGAATACATCGTGACCTGGGTCCCTGTGGCTGGAGGAGAGCGGGAAGTGGTGAGAGAGAGACCGGAATATTCATTTAATTTGTATGTGTTCATGGTATGCGCAACTTAATGTATAACAATTGTTTACAGAACATGTCTCTATAAACACACCCTACCCGAAAAGGAGCAGGGAGAAGAAAATAATCTGATATGACCGGCCCCTTTCTCAAAAAACATAAAATAATTAGAAATAGACAGTCTGTCCGTCATATTTTCTTATTCACAGCCAATCATAGCAGTATCGCAGGAAAATAAGAAAAACACAAGAACGTAGAAAAAAATACGTAGTTCCCACTTGACGGTTAACGGAACATTAGGATCAGATAAAGATTTTGTGTTCCTTGGAAGGAAATGCAGGTGTCAGAGCAACAGAAACAGAGAAACACAGGTCAGTTTAGGTTTTCTTAGACAAGTTTACCATAACCTACGTCAGGGGAGAGTTTACACGAGGTCAGAGATATTAAAAAATATAAATAAAATATAGAATAAATAAATAATAATAACAATGTACAACTTCAACACATAGCAGGTTTAGGAACAACACTCCAAATAAGTTTTAAAAAAAGTCAAGTTAAGAACCACATTTTTATTTTCTGGAGGAACAGGCCTGCTTCTGTTCTGCTCACTCTTCTGGAAAAGTTCTTTATGTCCTCTCTCATATTGTCGGATAATCTTTTTCTTTTTGGCCTTGAATTCAAGTTTTCTCAACACAAACGGAGAAAAGCCAGCAGCTTGAGATGGTTACGCATGTTTCCAGGAAAAAACCTTCTTTGCTGTCCAGGAAAAAGAGTTATATCAAAAGATGAAAACGGTTGGAACATTTTAAGAAATGTACATTTCATAACCACTGATGTGAAACATTGCAGAGGCAGTTTCTACTGTTTTCCATAAAGCCCGCGTCACACTGTCCCGAAATCGACACCAGATGGAAACACGATAAGGGAAATGTTCAAATTCGGCTCTGATCGTAACAACATCGGGCCATTCGTGAGGGCATCGCCGCCGTATGACCGCCGGTGGAGTTTCTCAGGCTCCAGCAGCAACTTTGTGAGCGGTGGCAAAATCTTTGGAATGCCAAAATATTGCCGAAGGACCTTTCGAAGGTTCATTTTCGTGTTGAATTTGTGAGTCCATTTTGCCCTTCGTAAGGCACTCGTGAGGGCACCTTGTCAAATCGTTTCATCTTCGTCTTGACTTCGTGTGATCATCGGTGCCATCGGGCATTTTTCGCCTCACGAAGACAATACGAAGGAAACAAGAAGCTGCCCGGTTGTCTTTGGAAGGCAACACGACTACGTGAAGCCCTCGCAATGCCGTCGTGTAGCCATCGCATTATAGTACGATGACATCGAGATTGCATTTATTGCACAACAAAATCATGTAAACATATTATGTAAATAACACTCCAAATATTACATTGTTTTTGTTACTTTCGTTGCAGTTGTATGTCTTAAATGTAATTTTAGGTTAACTTCCTGCTTTTATTTAGATGCTTTTATTTTGAAGGCGAGTTTACGCTGTTGACAGGAAGTTGTTGTTGCTATGGAAACAACATGACGGAGATAAGTAATATCTTCTAATCTACATATAAAGACAGAGAAAGTAAAGAATAAAGTGTATGTTTGAATGTTAGCACCCCCCAAAGAGGCAGAAGCTCTTACATTGAGTCTGGATATATTCTAAATCATCAGTAACGTCTACGACCATATTTCCGTGTGTGGTTCGGGTGCCATGGTGTGGCCTTCTGTAGGCATCGTACTTGCTTCGGCTGTTTCTTGGCTGTTGACCAACTAAGGGGCCATCTTCGTGCGAAATTCACAATTCCATATTCGTGTGTCCATCTGGTGTCAATTTCGGGACAGTGTGACAGGGGCTTTATGATTGGCACCAGCATTCAGGTCACTCTTTTTCAATATGATCAAAATACTACGGTGGCTAAATAGGTAAAACGTGCTGCACTTTCAAAAATAATGCAAATATAAAAACACAAAC